TTCACTATGCACAAAGCAAACAATAAACTGGATTATAAACAGCGCAAACTGGCCGTATTTATATTGTCGCCACAGAGATTCAAACATAATTTTTTTTTATAAAAATCAAAAATAATATAGCTGTTGTTCAATTTTGTTAATTCCACTCATTCTCTTCGTATATTCGGCGAATAAGAAATGAAGTTATTCTGTTGTGTGGTTTTTTGCAAATTTTTCGTACTTTGTTGCGCAAATAATTTTTCAGCGTCTATTACGTCAGAAACAAGATACCAGTATTATTTTTAGTTTTCATGTTCTCAGAAGTTAGCGCAATAGTTGCACCAGTCACCATGCAAAATTCCTTGGAATTTATTTGGTGCCAATATAAACGCACCTTCCCTCAATCACGTCGGTCCTAAATGTATGTATAATCTATAGTTTTCAATTTTGTCGTTCTCCGTTTGAAACTATTCTTATTCAATTCGCTGAATTGATGTTGTTTTTGACGTGCTCATTTACGTCAACGTTGGTGTTCCTTGGAAATATCAATTATTCATCTTAGAACTGATACCCATAGTCATGCAATGTAAAAAATAATGCCACTTTAACTCCTATGCAGTCCATATACTTTTACATTATAATTAATAACGAATAACTTCGTTTGATATTTGCAACCATTTTTTTTCATGTTTTTCCGTTGTCTACCCAGCAAACAATTGATAGGGCAAATGCATCCATTATGAAGCACATATTGACGGTCGTTTTCGGGGTTAGATTCGTGTGTAGTTTCAGTCATTTCCATAGGTTTGGCATGGTGGAACATTCAGGTGTGAAAACATGGAAAAAGGGAAAGACAACCATTAATATCAGTTGAACTGGGTATAAAATACTTTTTTTAAATTAAAAACTTTACTCACCTACGGGCACTCCCCCTCCGTACAATGTTGTACTATTGTACAACTAGACCACAAGACTTTATATAGTCTGTTCATGTCTAGCTAAGCTAACTATAATAGTTAAAATATTTTATTTTATGTAATTTTTTGAATGTATGATTAATTGATGATGTTTGTTAGTTGACATTGTTGTTGTAGTCCGGCGGTCTTAACAATGAAACTGGCAATGGTACATCAAAGATCCGGCAAAGTCCTATGTAATTTAAAGCAAATACATTAAATAATGAATATTCTGTTTCCAATTGATTCATACCTTTGAGCATAATGCATTTTGCTGCAACAATATCTCGGTGCCAAGTAACTGTTTGTGGAACAACATCATCATCATCAACATTTAATGGCCAATTTTTGTAGGTAACTTTAACCTTTGACATTAAACGCCCAGTCCGAATTTTTTCGTTCACAGCCTCACGATTGCCATCGATAATTTGTCGCTTAATAATTGCACGTTTTCTTCTCAAAACACGTCTGTTGACCGTTGACACAATGATATCTGGCAGTCCAGCGACTGAATCTGGCAGGCCATCAATCTTTTTCGCTCTACAATCGTAGCACACTTTAAATCGATCATCTTTTGTGTGCCTTGGAAAACGTTCCTGACAATTCGCGCATGTTTGTGATGTTCCCCATTCATCTTGCATTTCAACTTCTGAATGTCCAAGTTTCTTAATGCTCACACGAAACTTACGCGATCCCGGACATCTTTTACGCTTTTTTATTCCAAACGGTCGATCGGGTTTCATCGCCCAAGCACCAAATTGAACCAACGACGGTTTGTTGTTTGTCACACGCACGGCGATTTGATCATTTACTCTGGTCGAGCGAATGTGATGGTCTAAATCCAGTCGTGCATATTCACGCGTCGCATAAGCTGCCATTCCTTTTCGTAACATTTTAATGCGATATTCAATGTATGATTTCCATGTTGAATTACGTGGTGATGGTGGACGATATGGGTAGGTTTTGAGATGTTCCTTCTCTTCGATATCAAACCATCCAGCCAACTTTTTCGCTTCTTTGTCTCGTTTTTTCTGCTGAGTTTCCCAATGAAAACGCTGGTTTGGTATTATAATGTTTTCCTTCAAAATGCAAAATGATACAAAAAACTATGAGTTTCTATTCAAAACCATTTCAAATTACATTTCAAAATATCTTACCTCAACAGCCGGCTCATCAGGTGTTTTTTGAATGTTGCGACGCACTACAGTTAACCACGATTTTTCATTCGGATCGATTCCAATGATGTATTTCTTGCCAATGAGTTTTTCCGGCCCCCGATTCGCTTGGGTTGTTTGCTGTGGTCGTTGTTGTCGCTGTGGTTTCTTGTACATTATGGATATTGAAACACTATCGGTCAAAATCTGATGATGGAATGGTTTCGATTTGCCCAATTTATTTATTTTACCGACATCGAACAACATATTCCATAGACCTGATCGATCAGTTTGGGTGTAGTACTTTAAATTTCTCTTATTCATCCGGTTGGTCTGCGTATTGAGAAAAGAAGGCACCAAATCAAGCTCGTTTACAATTTTATAATACAAGTCCTTAATGTCCAATCGCACGTTTTTCAAATGGTAGTCGCATAATGGTATAAGAGCAAAACTGCTTATTTTTGGTGGTCGATTGATTGTTGGCTCTTGAAAGTTCGGATTGTTACGAAACATTTCATGAATGGTATTCCATTGTTCGGCATGACTGTGATACACTTCTATTTGCCGTTGCATTTGACCGAACAACCACAGTGATTCAAACCAACGATATTTTGCGAAAAATTTCATACTCACTGTTCCCGACCATCCAATTTCAGTCAAATCTCTCATTAAAATATTGAATTTTTCAACGCGTTGTGGATCCACATTATTACCATTTGTTAAATTCTTAAATCGATATGAAAACTCTTTGGCATTTCTGATGTCGATGTTATCAAATCTTGAGCCATTGTTGAATCGATTGCGATACCAACAACGCATTCGAAAAAAATTCTCAAGTCGTTTTTCACACCATGTGTTGGTATTGGTTTGAATGTTTGTGATATATTGTTTATAAAAATATCTCAAACCATTTCCCAACTTTTCATCATCTGGCCATCGGAACTGTTCTTCACTGTTTCTTTCTACCATGAAACGAAACTCGGGCAATATCCGATATCGACTATTAATATTGTTAACGTGTTGGTTTAATACCGCTCTGAAACAATCGGCAATGAACAGGCTTGGATGTGGTTTCAAAAAAAATGCACGATCGTCATTATCAAGTGCTTCATTCAAAATAAAAAGAATAGAAAGTGATGCCAATGCTGCCACTTCTGTCATTTGAACACTGCGCTCGAATAGCATTTTGGTCACAACTTCTCCAACTCTTTCAATCCGTTCATGTTGTTGTCGCAGGATTGTTTGAAGTCCACATTTTATTACAACGTATTTGCTTTCTTCTGGTTGATTATCATCGAGCTCGTCGTCATCCATGTCTTTTTCTGTTCATTCTCAAAAAACTGATTAAATTATTCGAAAATAAAAAATAGACACAAATTTAGAAAAAAAATGCAACAAAAATAGCATAGATTACGAATAAAATGAGATCACAATTTAAATGACAATCACTTATATCACAATTCAAATTAATCACTTCTTACCTCAACGATTTCACTCTGTATTCTGATTCAAATGATGAAATGTTTTCCAATATTCCGCAGATGAAAATTTTGTTGGAATATTCACCGTCAATTTTATGAATGCTTTCTTATTTTGAAATAACAACAGAGACAATCTCAAAACCAACAGTGAATTTATCCGTTTAACATCGAACAAACAAAATCATTGGAACAAATGTTAGCCAAAAATGACGACAAACAAATTGTTTCATACTCTAATATAAACACTCACACATAATTCTCAAGAATTCCTTTTACAAGCAAAGCACAATTTGTTACAAACAAAAAATGAGAACACACTCATATCACACTTCAAATGAATAACTTCTTATACTATATAACGCTGTGTCCTGATTAAAACGATGAAAATGTTTTTTTTTATTTTGAAATGAAAACAAAGACTGTCACAAAACGGACTGTGAATCTTTCCATTTGACATCGAGTGACTTCTACAGTTACGTTCCAAACACACCAAACCGTTGCTAAAATGACGATAAACAAAAAATGAATCTCATGTACAAGAATTCCATTTATTAATCACTGAATTTTGTTTTTTTTTTTTTTTCAACACAATGGCAACTTAACCATAATTACTTACCTTATTCTTAACAATAACTTCGAAATATTTTGATGCGAAAAAATCCCTATTTAGTTCGGTGCCGGAATTATAATTTCATACATTGTTCAAAGAAATTAATTGATACGATGCAATGTTTACGAAGCACATTTTGAATGTAATCAGAAAAATCGGCTTCGATATGATACACACCAATACACACAGCTACCAACTGTCAAATGTCGTACATATTCAAACATGTTTCGAATTCGAAATTCGAATTTGAATTATGAAATGAAAAAAATAAAAAAATGTTTCTGAAACTAAAATCAAATCAAACAAATCTAAAAAAAGGTACATTTATAAATGTATTTCACAGTCACTTGAAATTCCTACGCAATGTTTTTTTTAATTCATGCACAATCGAAACACACAGAGAGAGAAGAGAGTAAGATTTGTATTTTCATCCTCTTTTTTTTCCGGTTTGTTTTTCAAATTTCATTTGCTTAAAATCAATCGTATGAATACGATATTATGAACTCAACGAATTTATGTTAGTTACATTTGTTTACATTGTATTGCCGCTACAGTTTCTTAGAATATAATAACAAAAAGAGAAACAATCGAAACACACAGAAGATGTTGTTGTGTATCGCAACACGAAAAAGCCGAAAAAGTGGTTCACATTATGCCTATATTCTACCTTCCATTTGACACGAAAATTGCCACAAAAATGGGTTAAAGCGTTACATTTTTTAACGTTAAAATGTCCTAAAAACGTTACATATTTGTCCGTTGTCTATCTTATTTTTAACATAATTATATTTCAATTTAGTTTTTGATTCTATGTTCACAGAACCGCCAACACTGATAGGTTGTCACTGAAAAAAGGAAACGTTGAGTGGATTGATTGAATAAGCGCAACCGCAGAGTAATTGACGTTGCATAATGGATTTTACATTCGATCCGAACGATATAACTGTGCCACAAGTGGCTCTCTATTCAACCATATCATTCCTTATTGTCACAGTAATAGGTGTTTTTCTCTATATAACTTGCTCAAAAAAATACAAATTGAATTGGTTTGAAAAGAATTTGCTGGAGACCGCATGCGAGAGTCAGGAATTTGGAGCAAGGTACATAAAAAGAGAGAGAAAAACGTTTGAAATTGAAATTTATGTTAATGGTCACATTTCATTTCTCATTCCCCATTTCTCATTCAGTCAAGAGGCGCTTTTAGTGAACAACGCAATACCGTACAATGTGGATACAGTCGATTCAACAAGTTTGCGTTCATCAAATCGGAGTCCGGTATCGGTAAACGAAACATTTTGGGTTCCAACAATAAATCCTCGGCATGCGAGTACACACAGTGAAGCATTGGCAACCACTTCAACAGGTCCGTTCGAAAAGAACATAAATAGATAACATTTTTGTTGGTAGATTTTTATTTGCGTATCGCAATTTTGTGGTCTTTTCTTTTTCTAAACGTAGATGATTCATTGCCAGCCACACCAACATCGCCGACGGGCTCGCATGCTTCGATGGCATTGTCGATTGGATCGGGTAATACGGTTCCAATAGCTCGTACCGATAAACATGTTGTGCTTGCCATGAGTCCGGCGCGTCCGAAAGTATCATCAATGCAAGCTAAATTGGATCACACAAAAATCGATACGTCTCTCTATGAACAGGTATTATGGAGATTTAACCGTTGTAAAATGTTTATAATTTAATGATGATAGGTTGTGGTTTTGCATTGCATATGATGGAATGGATAATAACATTTTAACTGCATTAAAATTCATTCGGTCTCATTCATCAATTTAATGATGATTTTTTTTATTTAATGTGTGGTTTATAGGCGAAAATCAAGCGGAATCCATCCATACCGGAGGACACGCGTGGTGTTATCAATTTGACAATCAATTATGATCCAAATGCTGGCATTCTAACAGTTCGTCTTATTGAGGTAAAATTCATTTGCACATTCACCCAACGTTTATCTGATTATTTATCATACTTGTCAGGCTAACGATTTACAGCCAAGGGATTTCAGTGGTACGGCCGATCCATACGCAAAAATCCGATTGCTACCTGATAAAACCAATTTTTGGCAAACAAAAATACATAAAAGAACATTGAACCCAAGTATGTGTCTGTCTCAAAATCAAATGTTGTCCATTTTCAATCTTATTTCGGTTGGTTAGCTACTATTTATTCATGAACTGTATTGTTTTTCTCTGTCCAGTTTTCGATGAGGATTTTGTATTTGAAGAGCGTCCCGCAGTGATTGGTCGACGTATTATTGAGATTTTGTTGTACGATTTCGATTCGTATTCACGGCATTTTTGCATTGGCGGCACTCAAATCGATTTGGCCAAATTGGATTTGACGCATAAAATTGATATTTGGCAATTTTTGGGCTCATGTTCCGAACAAGATGCTAAAGTTGAACTCGGCGATGTTATGTTATCCATGTCATATCTGAATTCGGCCGAAAGATTGACCGTCGTTTTGATAAAGGCACGAAATTTAAAGGTCGTTGACATGTCACGCAATTCGTCAGATCCGTATGTTAAATTGTCGCTCATTCAAAATGGTAAAAAGATTAAAAAACGAAAATCAGGAGTCTATCGCAATACAACATGTCCTGTATTCAATGAAGCACTCACCTTCGATATTTCCAAGGATACTCTTAAAACGTGCACCATTGAAATTCTTGTCGCTCATGACAGTTTATTGGGTATTTAGTTTTTACTTCTATTAGAACGTTTACTTTTTGTTGTAAATTTTCAAATTATTTTGACATAAATTCCATTTTTCCAGGCTCCAATGAGATAATTGGACGTGCTTTAGTTGGAAATGATAAAAGTTTGCCACAACCAAATCGTGCTATCTTCGATGACCTACTTAGATCAAAATCGGCGACAGCTACCGCGCAATGGCTTTCATTAACCGAACCAGCTGTTCAGTAAATCACAGCGAAAGAAGTCTGCTTCAATTTTTTAAATTTTTATTTGAAATCTTCATAGAAAATCTATTCTGAGTGGAAAGGAATCTTATTAAGCCACTGTTAAAAATTGCAAAAGTATTATTTTTCTTTGAATATATATACAAAACAAAATGGGAAACAATTTTTTCTATTTAGATAGAATTTGATGTATATTGTTTTATGGTCTCAATAAACAAGAATTTATGCACTTTATATGTGTTTTACAATCTAGAAAAGTATTTGCGCAGGCGAGGAAAATCAGTGACAATGATTTTCATGACAGTGAAATTGTTGATTGAAAACAATCTTATGTTAATGTAAATAAATATAAAAAATGCCTCTAAACAATAGAACTAAATCAAAATAAATGTAACTATGTGTCATATAGTATATGATTAAACAAATATTTTTGAATCAATATGAACAATATTTTTGTTATTATTGCACCATTCTCGTATGAAATTGAGATTGAAATAATGCTATATGGGAAAATAGTAACCATTATTTATTGACATGAATAAATCCCAGATAACTTAAACCATAATTCATAATGTCACCAAGTTCGATGTAATAAAAACTTTAAAATCCATAAATATTGCATTTTTTATTGATTGAGGTCGATATTTATTGCGAATATATTGCCAAAACAAATTTGGAGAAACCGTAGAACATATTTTTCTTTCAAATAGCTTTACTTTGGTGACGAGTGGACTGATTTTCAAACTTCGATGTTTTTTCTTAATCTATAGCCCAATGGCTGGCTTACCAACTGATCCATATATGATGTTTTGAATGAGAACTCTGCTCATTATCATCACATACACATGCACGTCCGGCATACCGCAATTGAATGTTATGCGTGAACTTTTTCTTTGGTTTATCATCGCATGACTATATTTTGGAAAAAGCAACATTGCCAACCAACTGTCAATAGTTCATTACTGTATATGTCAACTGTCAACTGATAACAGTAGAGTTATGATTGTACATGATGAATAAGATCTGAATATTGAGTATAATTTCATATAAAAGATTAAATAATTTAGTTGACTCTCTCACAACGCTAATATAATTTCGAGTGTATAATATGAACTGTAAATTTATAATTTAATGGGCAATACAAGTTTTTCGTTGATATATACTCATCCAATGGGCAGAATAAACATTTCATTTTTGAAAACATCATCAATCGTCAGAAAAAATCATCAATCCAAGCGTGTCACATTTATTTTAAAATAAGAGCCAAAAAATAATAATTGTGTGTGCATAAGAATTAAAATTAAGTGAAAAAGACATCAACTTTATTAAAGGATTTTAGCGGCAAAATATAAATAGCAACTATGATCGTTTTTATTGTCATTGTTTTATCGTCAATTTTTAATTTATTGTCATGTGCCACGTTTCACCACATCCAACCAGTCCATGCGATACCAAAAACCACACTGAAACTTAGAACCTATGAGTCGCTAGGTATGTTCGTCATTTAGCATTTAGCATTTTCTATATACAATTATACATTTTTCATACATACATAACTTAACAAATATTCAAATAATCCAAGAAAATTATGAGTTCCCGGAACTGGAGGATTTTGATTACAATAATGATGAAGCTCCATTTTTTCCAAAAGAAAATACTTTGTTGGAGTTTTTGCGAAAAGCATTTGGGAAAGTGGCCAGAATACATTGCATAGGCGCCGGTGAGCAAATAATGAGATATAACATTTTTTTATCGCAATGATTAATTGCCAATGAATCTAAGATTTGTTTATTTTTTCAACATTTTGCACATTTTTACTTGCAGGATATCCACCTCCGAACATAACATGGACCAAAAATAACGAAGAAATCGTGAGGCACATGGGCACGGTTCAATATAAAAAATGGGCCATTATATTAGAAGATTTGACACCAAAAGATGCTGGAGACTACACTTGCAAGTTGTGCAACATACACGGATGTATTGACCACACAACTAAACTTCTTGTGGAAGGTAAATTACAACTAAACAATTTCATCCAATAAGTTTCTATTTCAGTTGATTTTACAAAGAAGCCGCTTTGTTTCTCAATCACTTATTATGATTTGTTAAACAATTTATTTCGTTCATTGAATACCGTTTTCATGTTTCAAAACTCTGATTGCGTAAATTTAAATCGCATGTAGATCGTTTTTCGAGTTCGCTATACTTTATAAAAGAGCAAATCGTCAATGGAACGGCAACGGTTAACGGAAATATTACATTTAAATGTCCAGTTATCCAGACAGAAAGGGCCGCACATATTAAGTGGATCAAATTTCATGCGTTAAATGACTCTGATGCCCCACCAAATGCAGTTCTTCTTGAGGTAGAGCGCATATGTGATTTTTCTTTTGGTATTTTAGGTTAAGACTAACATCGTTTCGATTACTATAGTATTTCTCCAAATATTTACTATTTTGTTAAGACATAAAAACAACGTGCCAAAAATCGTTGATTTCTGATAATGGAAAATATTATTTTTTAAACTTCAAAAATGGAATTTTATGGCATTTTGTATGAAAAAATGGCTACCGTTCTTAAACCTTTTTCAAGGCGCTGTATGTAAAAGAAACGTTTCACTAATATGGATCTTTCTTGACGAAAAAAGTAATCTCTGTTCTGGCTAGTTGAGAAGTTTATTATTGTTTTTTCGACACTTAGGTTGATGATTATAAGTCGGAAGAGTTAACACTTCATAATATCACACATGCAGACGAAGGATGGTACAAATGTATTGCAGTAAACAATATGGGTTTCATGACGGCTTACGCTTATTTACATGTGGTAGACGAAAATGGGCCAAATATCGAAACAAAAGATATAGTTGGAGTCCAGTTGGCTTATGGTAATAGTTCAAACAATCGATTTGCAATATGGATTCATTTTAATGTTTGATTATTTAATTAACCTTTCTATTCGGGTTATGTGGATCTTGATAAACAAAATTTGGAAAATCGTAATCGGTAAATGGTGTTTTTTTTAATCTAACTAATTTAATCTTAATCACTTACACAATTATTCACATCTAAAAAGATATGGTGAGAAAAACGGAAAATACTTATGGAAAAATCCAATATTATTTCACTTAAAAAGAAGAAATTCCTATGTGCCACTTAAGAAAAACTTGAATTCGGATATACTTATGCTTGTATGATTTCATCAAAGTCATTTTTTCTCAGCCTTACATTTCATTTGTTTCCAAACATTTTTCAATCCAAACATTGTTTTTCAAACAGTATTTACAGGTATTGCAATATTACTCGGATTATTTGTTGTGCTGTTTCTATTTTGTTTTCTACAAGAACGAATAAAACGCGTTCGATTGAAAAAACATCTTCAAGGAAACCCGAGGAGAATCAAACCGCAGCATGCACTGAATGAACAAGCCCACCATTTGCCATATAAAAAGGAGTTTGAATTTCCCAGAGAACAGATTAAACTCGAACCGAAGTACAGTGTACATTAGGGTATTTCCCATATCTGTAAATAGAAAAATGGTATTTTTTAATTGAAAGTAGACAAAATTCTATGCTGGTTAGTAGCATCGATACAACAAAGCGATTTATATCAACACTTCCCGAAGCGAAAAACGATTGTTGCCTCTGAATATGGATATCAATCACTCCATTATATGAATAAAATCTCATAGTGAAGAATACTTACAGAAAAAAACACCTAGAAGTACTTCCTCGAAATGCTGAGACACAACAGTCAGTCTCAGTTAATGTAACAAATTACAATATTAATTTTTGATTAATTTTCGAGTACGAATGGTGATTGGTGATGCTTAAGGCTGCTGATTCGGTTGAACTGCTGGCTGTCGCGGTGATCGTCTGTCTAATCCTGCCGGAATATCCCATCCAAACAGCTCACAATGTCCTATTCAAAAGTAAACACACACACACGGAAATAATGTATAGATTATTGGCAGAAATGATTTTTTTTCTTAAATCTATACAAATGTTTAGATATCTCAACAGAAATTTATTTTTTTATTAAAAAAATATTTTCTCAATGTCATTAAATATTGCATACATATTTATCATCGAGCGCTAAAATAGATCATTCAAATAGTGTGCATTTCATTTAATATGTAGAATATATGCAAATGCAAATTTCTAATACACATACCTTTGATGAGAATGCATTTGGCGGCGACGATATCACGATCCCAAGATGTCTTGTGTACAGCCATTAGTAGTTGCTTGTCTTCGATTTCCAATTCATTTTCATCATCGACTGCATATGGCTGTTGAACAGTTGCATACGGTGTATCAGCATTGACTTGAGCATATTCCAATTTACCACTCACTGTGTTTACTTGCCAATTTTTTGGATACACGGCCACCTTAGACAGTAAACGTTCAGCAGCAATATCGAATTCTTGCTCAGTCAAACAAAAACACAATAATAAAAAGTTGTATGTAAAAATTGAAATTTATTTTCGTGTTGGACAATGTCATCAAACGTTTATCTTTCATACAATCGTTCGTTTGTTTCAGTATTTGGGAGTCATTCCTTCCCGCTTCATTAATTTCACAAAAAAATATTCTTTTTTCATTCGCTTAACAGATAATTGATAAATATGTAATACCTATGGAATATATTCTATTGGTTTTTTTTTAAATTTAGCAAATATAGTAGAGTGAAAGAATTGGTAAGGACTTTTTAGACAAACTATAAACTACATTTTTTTGAATAAGTACGAAGAAAATTGCGTTTGCATGCAATTTTACTTTAAATTTATATGTTTAAAAATTATTAGTAAATTTTTGACTATCATATAATTTGTTTAATTCCTCACATCGTAAATCGCGCATGCAAAGTGAAGTGACCATACATCCTAAATATTAGTTAACATCTCTCACTTCAATTCGACTTGCCTTTTTAAAACTTATACCTAACCTTCATTTAAAACGGTCAAATCATTTATATCGCTCTCCCGATTGGAGGCATGTCTCTTGTTCGACGGCCATATTTAAAATGGTCAACAATCGTATTTGATTTGCATATGATTACGAAAGTCCCATTGCAAAAAAATCATTTCACTTTTTTTCGCATCGAAAAAAAATAATTCACACAAATGACCCTGTAAACCAAAGAAACCAAATTGATTTACAAATACAAACTAAAAATCAATTCAACTAAATTCTATATGCTAATTTAAAGAATTGTAATTCTTTTGGATTGGACGGCTGTTCCCGTGGATTTTAAAATGAAATTTGTTTTAAATGAAAATTAAAGATTAGAAAGCATTAGTGTGTTTTGTTTCATCGGTGAGGTTAACCAACAAAATGACAATATTCTTTTGCAAAAAATTGTTTTGCGCAAAACAACACGATTCTGTTGTGCAGTCCGATTGATTTAACCGTCCAGCGACAAAAACAAAACGAATCTGTTTCGGCTGGAGGTCTACAACATAGAAACCGGTTAGAATGATTAGTTCGTATTAATATAATTGATTAATTTGCGGCTAACTACGGATGAAACTTTTTAGTTTTGTTTTAATTAGTGATGAAATTATTGCTTTCTTTGATCATTGTTATCTTTAATTTCAGCACAAAAGAAGGATTTTTTTAAAAAATTTGATTAACAAGTTGTTTGTTTGTACAAGATATCTTTAACTGAAAATTATACTAAAATGTACGTAATATAAACTAAAAAAAAATTATATATTATTTACAGATGTAACAGAAAACTTATTGAAAAATGGCAACAAAATTTAGTTAAATAAATTTGTCTAATAAATCGATTACTAAAACTAGTGTTAAGCGTTTAAATTCAGTATGTGTGTCTGTGTGTTGCTATTTTATTATTTTATTATTTTGATTCGTAAATTCCATGCCATTCTTCACTTCACAACATTCGTCAAATGCTCCCTGACTTTTGAAAATTCGATCAAAACGGTAACATAATAATTTGAATTTGAACAAAGCTCTAAAAATGTAATGACATGTTTGTGTTTGTATAATAGAATTTCAATCATTTTGTTTAATAGAATCAAGTTCACATTGATTTTTTTTTGTTTAATTGAAAAGACGAGACAAATTTCATTGACTGAAAGAAATACAAATAGTCGGTTCAAATGCCGTTCGTTTAATTTTTACGTAAAAAAAGCATTCATATATTTTTTTAATGTTTAATCGTTGACCTTTTTTGTGTTGATGCGCTTAACTCAAATATGCTCCTGATTTAACTTTAAGTCACTTTTTGCTGGAAACAAAATCTTCAACTCCTGAGGTATAATTTCTTTTTTACAGATATAAGAAGATTACACTGACAAAAGTATGTGTTACTTTAACCGTGATTGATATCCGATCCAATATCCTCTTCGAATGAAGAGAACAAATAACACTTTTTTATCTGTGGTTTTACGCAAGAGCAATTGAGACATGGAACATGAAATAAACATTAAATTTAACTTTTCAAATTGTGTCTCCATACATTTCGATTGGTTAGAACCATATATATAGTTTATTTAAGTATTTATCTTATTGAGTGCTAGCAGTTTAGTTTTTGTTCGAATTTATTGAAAGTGACCTATAGATGTCTATTAATTTCTAAGTCAAATGGCTAACAATTTCTGACAGGAACAAAAGGCCAAAGTTGGTCATGTTTAAATATTGTTGTTTTGAACATGCTTCTGAACTTTCTGTAAAATATCTGTGCATTTATCCATCATTTGTGTATATTCGCCATTTTGTTGTGAAGATAATGTGGTTCGAGTCTCAGTTTTCGGTGCAAATGTCACATGATGGCCAGATCGTTCGGATGGTCTGAGCAAAAAAAAATATTGAAAAGATTAATTAATTTGCTTGAAAATTAGAGTGAAAATTCAAAGTTCACTCACTTGTTCAATGTAATTTTTGTGAGCATTGACTGAGTCATCATCACAGCATTTTCCAATTCCTTTAGCATATCTTGTTTTCGATTATCCGATCCATTCGATGATTCTTCGCTGTTTTTAAGTCTTTGGTGCAATTGCATAACTGAATTCGTTGTGCCCATTAGTTGCGATATTATATTCGATATCAGTTGAGAATTCACTGGCAACAAAAAAAATGAAAACACATTAGAACTTCATCAAAATCCAAAAAAAAAATGAAAGAAATTCAAAGAATTCCACTTACAATCAGCATTCGCGATATCATTATCTTTGCATGGAACGTCTTCGTTGAAATTTGTTTTGTTTGGTTTTCCATTGGTTGTTACATTCGGCATTCCGTTGCGTTTAAAATCACCACCAGAAATGCCGCGTGGACGTGGCGGAACGACCGGTTTGTTGTTGCTTATTTTGTGAGTATTTGTTTGGGCTTCTTCTGAACTGGAATCATCATGACCGCCACTTGAAATACTCACTACATTCAAATTGAAAAGAAATAAATCAGAATAAATATGCAAAAATTGACATTTCAAAGTGTATTTTTGCTTTATGACCATTTATAATATACACAAGTTCGCAAAAATACCATTGATTTTTTTATTTATATAAATTAAATGATGATGCAATGAACATGATTAAGTCCGAATTAAAAAAAATATATCAACAAAATGTAGAAAGGAATGAGAAATTTGTTAACACTACCACTACTAGTTAGTCCACGTCTTCTATTAATGATAGCGGCTGCAGTCTTATTAGTACTATTGTATTTGTTGTTTGATGATGATGCTTTAAACGTGATTAAAAGGGAAAATATAGAAAAAATAAAATTAAAAAAATCCACATGTTGGAGAATAATTAAAAGAGAACACAACACTACTGTATTTATTGAAAAAACGTAAACAAAAGAGAGACTGCAATTTGCCATTTTAAAGAAGAAAAAAAGGTAAAAAGGGTCTAATGGAAGAAGATGAATTTCTATTTCATTAGAGTAAATAAAGAAAATTAAAAGATACTTACCACCGTTCATTCTGTTTTGTGAAGCGATTGTTGGTCGCATAATACCGCCACGGCTTGCTGGTGCTTCTGGATCTGAATCGCTCTGAAACGAAATGTCGTTCAATAAATCAGTTTGGTTTTTTATGTCATTGAATTGGCAAAAAAAGAACACTTACTGCTTGATTTAACGTTCCGCTCGATACGCTTCGGGTGCCCATTCCATGTGACGATGACATTTTATTGGTGCTGCTTCGCTTGGCTGCAACTCGATTTATGTTTGTTGTTTGTCGACTGCTTGCAATCGGTTTATATGAATGCGAACTTTGAGATTTGAAACCTACCATCGACACAAAAACGTAAAGAAACAAACAAAACATAAGTACAAGTGGAAAGAGAATAGTAAACTCGTTTGTACGACCGTGACATCATCAACAACGAATCTACCTACAGAAGATAGGTCAACTCACAAAATAAATACTACATGGAAAATTTACGTACTCAATGGACAATAATATTCATATTTATATAATAGAAAAAAGTATATATAGAAGGCTAGATATTTGAAACAACTCCAAATTTGTCAGAATGTAATTGAGTCAAGGCAGGCAGAAAGTGAGAATTACAGAGAGCATGGGTCAGTATAACTAATTTAAATCCAAATCAATCAAAGTCAGCGAACGACAACGTTATTGTAAATAAATAATAAATTTTAAATATTTTCTTTTTACCTTTTCCCATACTTAAATCACTAAGCGAACAAGCGCGTCGAATAGAAGAAGATTCATCATTTTGTGAGGGTAACATTAGGCTATTTGGACTTCCTATAAAGTAAATTCAAATCAATCAATAGTTTTACGAGATTTTTTTCTTATTAATTTTTAAAGCAAATTAAAATAGCAAAAGTAAGCAATTTAAAGCAGTTATTAATTTTTAATAATAATAAGGCAAATGAAGTGAAGATCTAATATACATTACAACACAAAAATATCAACTAAATGACCAACATAATAAGGTTTATGTGCTGGTGTGAACTAAAAAGACTACAAAACCAGTCGGAAATGTATATTATTTCAATAAATATCAACAAACGATGAAGAACCAATCAAAAGCGGATAAGTATCAAAATAAGAAAAGCTGAAAAGATCTAACAAATAAACAAAAACAATGACGTGTATAAAACTTGAAGAAAAAAAAATCGAAAATTTGTTAAATTGGCATTCGAGACGCACACCTTCGACGCCATATCCGTCGAGGAAGTCATCGGTAGAACGTTGTCTGCGACGCTTAAATTCGCAATTAAATCGGTATTTGGTGTCTTCCAATACATCCGGCAAGCTATGATTACGTCGAATTTCGTTGTGCTCTCTCAATCGCAGTGACAATTCACGTTCATATTTTATCGATTTGGCCAAATTGTCAAAGTTAACGGTGAGACTTTTCACATAACCTTTTTCGTTGGCATTACAAGTGAATGGTCGCATTCGAAGCTCTTTTGCACAACGTTCTTGTTCCAGCTTTTTCTCTTCCAATTCAACCAATTTATTAATTACATCGATTTTCTTCTCAATGTCACGGAATTTCATGTATTCGTCTTTTGATAAAAAATCCGACGTTACCATTGAATTCGAACTGCTGCATTCATTTGCATCCATTGACATGGATCGGCCAATCGGTCGTTTTATACGGCTCTTTAAAACCAGCTCATCCAATGAATCGACTGAATTCTCTTTATATAAATTCGGCTTCGTATACAAATCCAAGCTATCCATATTATCATCTTCGCAAATGCCCTTTTCGGCTACATAAATTTCAATTGTTCGTTCGTCCATTTCTTTTACTTCGCGATTTTTCAATTCTTTTAAACTTTGCTTTTCTTTTGCGTTTTTTCCTTTAAGTTTTTCCTTATCCGTGTCAACACTCTTATTAATCACCGTTCGTTCTTCGACCTTGTTTCGATCTTTCACTTTTGTGCTACCTCTTTTTGCTTTCATGCTTGCCGAACGGCGATTCGCAACTGGCGGCTTATGTGGAACATACGGCATTTCCAATGTACCGCCAAATTGTGAATTTGACGTGCGCATACGATGACGATCTTTTTCAAATTTCTGTAAATTCTGTTCGTATTTTTTGGCAGCACTTTTTTGCTGCAACACCCGGCCACGATTATGAAACATTTCAATTTCAAAACTGCAAGATCGTTTTATTTTCGATGGATTTGTATCATCAACAATGATTGCATTACTTGTGGACGGTAATGGTTTGGTTGTTTCAATGGTGGTCATCAAATTGGTTGGTTTTGCCGGAACCGCTGGTTTAACTGGTTTCCGTTCGAAAAAGTCATCATCATCACATCCATACAATGGATTTGAATTTTTAATTTGACGTTCGGTGGCAAATTCTTTGCTCAAACTTTTGTTCGTTTGCGTCGAGTATTGATCGTTTTTCGATACAAAACGTGGAATAAAATCATCGTTCTTTGGATGATAAGTGGTGGTTGACAACGATGGGAATGTGCATGAGCTCGGTATACCCGTCGATTTGGTAATATTTTGAAATTCTGGTGGTGGCGGTGGTAATGGTGAACAACGATTCGACGTTCTTGCCGATGTATTGTTGCTCATTAAACAGTCATAGTCATAATTAGCAATATTACATCCCTCACGATCATGAAATCCATAACCATACTGTTGGTCCATGTAGTAATCGAAAACATTACTATTTGGACTGGATCCATATGATTTGGATGTTGTGACCTGTGTCTCAAATCTTGTATCGTATGCATTCGAAGTGCGGTACAATAGTTCACGTTTAGTCTTTGTAAAAAGAACTTCAAGCGGTGCACTTTTACATTCCGATTCATCCGACAGAATGCTTTCCATGCTATTGCAGTAGCTGACCCCGCAACCGCTCATATCGTCCGAAATTAAACTCTCTTGGCTTTTACGTTCGGGTGCCAAAAAGAAACTGGCACTCGAATGACGTTGTGTGTTGAGAAGTGCATAGTTTGGCTTTTGTTTATCGTTATCATCATTCAAAATATCCGACAATGACACATTACGATTTTGATTCAAATAAAATTCATCATAAATAAAATAATCGGAAACGGATCGTGTTGGCATCATTGAAATGTTTTCATTTTTTCGATGTTTTTTTCTACATATTGATTTTCGTGTTTTTGTTTGACATTTTCCGCCATAATCTAAATCTAAGCTGCAATCTTCTAATGAATCGGAACTGAAGCTACCGTCTTCATCTTCTTGCATTGCATCCTTATCACCTGAGTTTCGGTTCGATGTACACGTTGTTGCATTGTCCACATTCGGCAGTGGTTTATCAACATCAAGATCACCATATTTTTTCGTTATTTCGGCAATCATTTTTTCCGTATCGGCATGAATCATATCCAAAATCGTTTTAGCGTCATCACTATACATCGAATGACGTTTATGATCCGCATCTTTTGAATTCATATTATTAGCATTCGATTGATGTGTACCGTCAATTGTTGTCCAATCGATTTCTTCGTGCACCGGTGACACTGGACACGATTTGTAATTTTTCAAAATGCCCGGATGTTTTGGACCCTTAATTTTAACCGAATTTTTCGAATCAGCCGACGTAAGATCTAAAACGTTCGGCCGTATAAATGGATTATTATTACTCATCGTCGGCATCACTGAACGCTGTGGTGAACTACATGGTGGTGTTGTTTGCATCTGATATGGTGCATTATAGTATGGATGTGACGGTGCTGGTTGGAGTGGTTGTGTTTGTGCATTTGTATAATAGATGCCAACATCCGTTGGATATGGTGGATAATCACGTTGAATTTGACGTATCATTTGACAATTGTGCGTTAGAACGGATTTTGGTGCAGCACAATTCAAATAGTTGCTATTCGAACCATGATGATAATAATGATTCGGTACGTAATTACTAGGACAACAATTATAATTGGTGTTTCTAAACGGATTTGTATCATCTACGCGAACCATCGATAACATTTAGTTTTTTCAGTGCGTTCAATATTTAATAATATGAGATTTTTGTTTAAAAAAATTATTATTTGATTTTGGTGTTAGTGTTAGTTTTACGTATTACGAGGTTAGCAGCATTAAAAAGACAAAAAGAACAAGAAAATTTTTGTGAGAAAACATTGAAGTCAATATACAAATAAAAAATTAAATTGCTTAATTTTATGGGAGGAAAACGATTTTATTTGATATTTGTTAATTGTACACGACGGATAAATTGTGTCTTCATTTCAATTGTATTGAAACAAAGAGAGAACCTTATTTGAAAATGAAATAACAAATGAAACATTTAGCGTATACGGCGCTAGTGATGTGCACACTTTTTCAACTCTATTCGCTAGCTGCAATATTTTATGACACATTCAACTTTGCAAAATTAAATGTAAATAAAAGTATAACGCTTACCTTGCGGTGGAATACGATTCGGTGCACGCGCTCGATCCAAATTTGCTGTGTGACTCAGATCTGATATACTTTGACTAGCTCGTAACGTTGAACGATAACCAACCTAAATTAATTAAGATGTATCATTTTTATTAGTCAGATTTTATTGCCGGCACTTAAAAGTGTAAGGAAACATAGCTTGGCATTTCTACACTGCAAAACAAGATTGCAGGAAAATGTATTGAAGCAAATGAAGTCAACCGTAAACAGTTGTAAATTGTTGCTAAATAATTTTATTTTGGCTTATGTTAAGAAATGCCAGCTTGTTCTCCATTCCCGATTTTGTAATAATGAACATAATGAATTGGTAATATTGTTGAAAGAGTTTATGTCTATTTACAAATGGATAATTCGATGAAAGCATTGAAGATGGTGTTCTATGCTTTAAAATGGTGTAGATTAATCAAGGGTTTGCGTACTTTTATGAACTAACAACTGGAAGCAGGGGTGCGAAGAAGGCAAGAAGTGTTATATGGGAGAATAATTGAAAAAAATTAAGTAAAATCAAATTCATAAAATTCAAACTGCAAAAAATGCCATTAAATAAGCGAAACTAAAACCATAAAACGTGTCAATAAAATCTGAATGGCAAACTTGTTAAAAAAAAATTAAAGAAAGCGAAGAATTAGTGAATTAAACTATACGCGTTAGGTGTTCCCATTCAAAAACCAAAGATTTTGTTGTTTTAGTGTTGTGGTTATTTTACTATGTGTGTAATTTTTTTTTTTAATTTTCTGAAACGATTGCACGGCATTAAATGGCTTCATTCAATTGAATGTGAACCATTTAAAATGGAAGTCGATTGTAAATTGCTAGTGCCAATCATTTTAGCTCTCACCTCGTGTATAGTTTGTGTTTGAATTGTGTTTGCATCTCGTATGCGACTTTTTTTCCCCTATAAAATATATATTCGGTCGATGTGTAATTTATAATTTGTTTCAAGAACCAATTTCATTAGCATTTAATTCTACCGATAACAAAATATAAATCTAAATATAAATACTGCAGGCGTAACATAGCAACATTGTATACATCCGCACATTTTCTAGCTACTGAGATTTCCCTTCAAGTTAAATCTTTAAAACAAAGAGACAAAATTCTTTCGGCCTGAACATAGAAAATTTGATGGACGTGATCCTTCAACTCACATTTTCCAACTTTTGTTTTGCTTCGTTGATGACTTTCATGAGCTCTTCTTTCTTACTATTGGCAAATGACTTTGTATAATTTGTCTTCACATCTCCATTATTGTGCTTCGAGCTGATGCTTCGACGAGCTAAATAAGATGCGAATATTTAAATTATGAGTCCATAAAAATGTTAAAGAAGAATTATTGGAATTCTTACTTCGATCACCTCGATCGGACAAACTTCCTGGGCCATCAAGCGCTGCTTGCAAAAATGACGATGACTGTTGAAGTGGTATATTTTCATTACTACCACCTAAATACTGTCCGTCCAAAGTGGATGCCAGTGAACGTTCAGCATTATCTCCACTTGGCGTTGATGCATCATCTTCATCGTCCGATGTACCAGTGCCAGTATTTGTTCCGCTTTGTGACGTTGTCAAACTTAAACCTTGTTTTTCAAACTTTTGGCGTCTCACGGATTTTCGTAACTCCTCTTCATTCATGGCGTTCACCTTAAAGTCACCACTGAAAAGGCAAATGATTTCAAATTAATTTTCAATTCAATAACTGCAGGTAAACGCGTGTCGTTCTTACGTTGGTGTACCGGGTACATTTGGATAAAACGTCATTCCATGGTCTGAGCTCGTTCGTTCACCATCCGATATATCTTCAATGTCACCATCATGTTCGGTATTCGATTCGAATTGTAAGCTATTTTTTGGAGTCTGTAATGGAGGCGAAATGTTGAAAAAATATATTTTTTTTATTACAGAGAAAAAGAAGAAGCGTTAAAATTTACATTTTTATTCACAAGCAGTAGATCTCGTCGATTCTCAACGCCACTATCGATTGAACTATCCTCACTGAGATAGGTATTTGTGTAGATATCCTTTGAACTGGCGCTATTGTAATCAGATGTTTGGTTGTTGTTGTGATGATTTGTTTGAATGATTGGTATGTTATATGATATGGCGGCTGAAATGGGTGGTGTTGTCGATGAAACTGTTGCATCTCCGGGCGATGTGGCTCTCAATTCATCTGGTTCGAATAGTTTCTTTTGAGCCCATCGACCTCGTGTTTTTGGCTGTGGTTGATTCGAATGACTAGGACTTGAGCTCAATGCATTTTCCGCATTCTCTTCGATTGGTGTTTTCTTCTTTGCCCATTGTGGCAATTGCCCTACATCTGAAAATCGATAACCAGGTGTAATTGGAATATCTTCAGCGAAATAATTCGGTGTTGGTGTTTTAAGCGGTTCGAGTGGTCGAGCATTTTTGTGATTCACATAAGGTGTTTCCATCGGTTCGTTGTTCGTTGGCGATGTAATGGGTCGTGGAATTGTGCCGCCCGATCTGATTGCTTGTTGTGATAGTCGTGCTTGCATTGTTACAATCATATCATGTGGAACCTGCCAGATGAAGATGCATCCATCGCCACTGGCCGATATCAAGTGTTTGCAGTCATTTGTGAATTTCAGACCAGTCACCAATTCACTGTGACCATACATTCTTGCCATACACTCTGTCGAATAGTAATCGTAAACGCTGAGTGTTTTATCGGTGCACGATGTTGCAATATAAATTCCGCTCAGGTCCAAACTTAGTTTAATCAAACTGCCCTCATCTGAATGTGATCCTTTGAATGTTTTTGTATGCTTTGCATTTTGTGTTCCATAAATTCGAATGTTACGATCTTGACATGCGGTTAAAATGTGTTTATTGTTACTGTCTACCTCCATGTCATAGAGTGTGGTTTTGCCCGAACAATTGTTGCCACGTAAAAATTGATTTTGTTGAAAATTCCGGAAAATAATTGATTTATCAGCACCACAAGAGACCATTTGAAATGCCAAACCACTGCCGATGAACTTCACCGATGTGATACTGCTGGAGTGATCGTCGAGCGTTTGTAAAATTTGGTATCCAATGTCAACATCGAATATATGAATCAAACGATCTCGACTGGCACTAGCTAAAAGGCGTCGTTCAATCTTCTCATTTGTATATTCCAAGCACAGCACTTCAGAGTCGTGCGCTTCAATGGTTGTGAGTAATTTCAATGTGCCTAAATGGTAAATTCGAATATTTCCACTTCGATCGCCCGTTGCCAAATGACTTCGTTCGGGACTTACTTTAATGCAGCGTACACCGTTTCGACCGTCGTAACTTGATGATTTCTCCATATTTAGTATAGGATTATCCATGTCTTTGATGTAACTCATATCGGAATCGATGTACAATAGTTTCAATAGATCTTTGCTGTAGATGTTTTTGCGATAGACTTCATTTGTTTCACAGCCATCAATGCCCCACACTCGAATCGTGTCATCTGATGAACAAAGTAAATAAAATCATCATATTAAATTAAATAATAAATAAAATCATTATATTTTCAAATTATTACCTGATGAACAAGTTAAGAAACAATCCATTGGCAAATTGTGTGTTAGATGATTTTTTAGTGTGTTGTATGGCACAGTTTCAACTCCCCAAATGCACGCCGAATGATACAAAAACGAATGGCTTTTGCCGACTCGTTGAATATTCCGTAGATCCCAAATGTACAAACTGTGATCGTTATAAACGCATGTTAGTTTGTCATGCATATCATCGAAAACCATGGCAATTGTGTCTGGATACTTTGAGTTTGGCGGTGCTGATGTAATGTGATTTATATGAACACCTTGTGCCACATCAACACCCAAATAATGGGTTCGCGGTAGCGTTGTCAAATATTCTAATGTTTCAGCATTGAATACACGAATAATTGACTCAGCGCAACCGACAAATATGTATTGGCTGCTGGTGCACAGACAATTTGCTGATGTCGTTCGACAATCAACCCATTTATCAAGCAAACGTCGTGAATTAAACTCCACCAATTGACCATTTCGTGTGATTGCGTATGTACTGTCGGCACCGCTTCCTTTGCCACATGCAACCGCACAGAAATCATTATTTCGTAACTCTCCTAAAATGGCACTGCGACCCATCAACGGTATTGGCTCCTTGTATTTTCGACTACCTTCCAAGTACCAGTATTTTACATGTCGATTACCAACCGTTACAAAGTAATTGCCATCTTCGCTGAAACATACTGAACATACTTTGGCACTAACTTTGTTTGATGCGATTTTTAAATTTTGTCGCCAATCGAACACATTCACGATCATATCGTGTTGTGAACCAACCGACACCAAATATTTTCCATTCGGTGAGAATGTAATACAACTGGTCGCATACTTATGACCTAAAAATTCTGCAATCACAACACCACCAACATTACTGCCGCCAGGCAATTCAATATTTCCATTTGCCGCACTAGTATCTAATTCCCATACTTTGATCGCTGGATTCTGGCCGCATTCACCCGTTGCAATATATCTACACACACAAAAACAATTAAATTACATTCAGTTTTGTTATTGGTGCATTGCACATTTAACACCATTCAAATGAATGTGTGCACTTGTCTACACTCACCGGCCGCATTGTGAATAAGCAATTGCTGTGATCGATTTGCGCGATGTATTCAATAAATATGCTTGGGTAAGCTTCTTTGAGTTGAACAAAACGACGGTACATCTAAAAGTGGAAAATAATAGCATTTCATTAATATATTCATGTTCGAAGCAAAAAGATAAAATTGACTTTTAAGAACAACAATAAATTTTCATACAACATCATTGTCTCTGCTGGCAAATATGACTTGGGTCTATGCTTAACGATTTGACTTAATTTATGCATAAGAGAATTTTCAAGATTGGAATGCAATAAATACTGATACCGAATAAATCAGATTATAGGTCGATGAGACCGAGAATATTTCAGTGAAGTGGGGCGATAGAATGTCCACTTGTTGTAAAAGTTGAAACTTCCTAAGCGGATATTGTTCGTTCGCAATAAGGAAATCATTGTTAACGTTTTTATATTAACTCATAAAATGACATAATCACTTTCTATCGGAAAAGGACGTGGAACTATCATTCTTATTTTAATCACCTTACTCTGGTGTTGAGTTTAAAAATGGAAAATAAATTATGCATTGTCAATAAAACTGTTGTCGATCCAAATCGGTACTGAAATTATGAAAATCACGTAATAGCTTGCAGTCTCGCCGCTTTCGTTTCTACATCGTGTTTCGCTCGAATCAATTTTAATGCAAATTCATTCCCTGTGCAAATTGAGTTTCTTCGTTTCCGGCTGTAAGGTTAAAGCATTTACTGTCGTCGCGTACATTCGGAATTGAAACAACAGAAAACGGTAATTGTTAAAATGTGTGGCCATTTCAATGTCAATGACACCTGGTTTCTGTAGTTTTTTTTTTCTTACATGAAATGAAATTCTTACAATTTGTATCTGTGGTTAATTTGTTGTTTATGTGGTATAAAACTAAGAATCACCGCTGAAAAATGAACATAAAACAGTTCATGCCGTGATTTTAATTGTAGTTAAATGTGTTACTCGCGGAATATTACTATTGCGCAATGAAATGTCATGAAGGTGACATTTGAGCGTTTGTGTGTTAATACTGTGAATTTGTTTAATTTTGAGCTGTTGTAAATGCTTGAACTCATTATCCGAAACGATTTTATGGCTTGTGAAACCTTACGTGATCGAATCAACACAAGCCGAATTGCTGCATTCGATCGGAAAATAAACATTTAATTGACTGCGTGGGTTGGTCAAAAATCAGCCGACAAAGACCATCGATGTTCGATAATTAAACTGAAATCCATAAAAAGAATAGAAATAGATACGAACCCGGCCGGATAAGCGATCACACCTGTCGTTGGCGAAACATCCAAAGCTGCATTACTACATACCGTCAAACCCAGTACTTTTTTTAATTTGATCTGAAATTCAATAAAAAAACGGAAAACATTCATTGATTATTTAAGAATTTATTGTAATACTATTTGTTTATTATAAAATTTATATCGATTGAAAATGGCATAAAAATAAATTCACATAATGTGAAGGAGAGACATAACAAAACTTGAATATTATGGTAAGCAATCTAATGTGGTACAAATTGTATTATAAAATGTTCATCACAAAAATGGGGCAAAATATTCGAATAACATAATGTCGCCAACGCAATCTATCGATTCGATCGAATGAAAGGATTTGATGTTTTTTCTTTGTTGAGAAAATGTAAGAATTCAATAGGTTACATAAATTAGTCAACTGCCATATATGGTTCGGAACGCATATTTCATGCTGATAAATTATTTGGGCACATTTTTGTTTACGTTTTTTTCAAAAAATGTCAATCGAAATCGTTATTGAAGTTGTTTGGAATTCACTTGTCCATTTCAATATAAAATTGATTGCCACTCGACATGAACAATATCGGAATCAAAACAATTTATCGCCTACACCTCAATTTAACTGAAAAAATTCTTGTGCACACACGACTTGCGAAAAATTACACACAAAAATATCTTGAAGAGAATGTGCGTCGCAAAAAAATACCATAGCGATCTCCAGCAGGCTTTAAATTGTGGCAAAAAAATGCTACCAAAGCTTGTAATTTCCAAATGTGCTCGAACATGGATTTTGCACAAACATGTATTCGCTCATTACGTATTCTTTTGCTGGAATTGGGAAAAATATTTCAGTTCCACTTGATGTTTTATTTCTCGTTTACAAAATGACTCCTTATAGAATGTCGTATATTGCGCACAACATATTTTATGAACGTTAATCGTTAGTCGCAAATGCTTTGAATGGATGCAATTCAGTTATGAAATTTATGAATTAAATACATATATGTGAGAATTGCCAAGTCTTACTTGTGCGATTCTATTTTTTCGATGCACTTCCACATCTGTAGCAGTTGTCACTAACGCAGTGAAATTCAATTGAATTCCTATTGTCATCGAATAGATCGAAGTTGTCTTTACCAATTTCGGAGTAACATTTTTATATGTGCTTTTGGCTATGTGATTGCGGTTTGGCTCAATGTGTGGTTTTCATCTTAAGTGCATCGCTTATAAGGAAGATTTCCATTAAGCAAAATCAATTATATTTTGAAAAAATATTTACACAAACTATATTGATTGTGGCGATCAGTTTGTTATGCGATCGACAAATGATGATGCAATGTCACCTTGACAGGTGATAAATTTTCTGAATATTGTTGGTTTTTGCTTTGTTTTATAGAAATATTACATTTTCTCACGACATACATGGAACATGGGCATCATATCTTATAAAACTCAATTCGGAAGATTGATGAGACAGCTTCATTTGGTTGATAATTCTCAATAAAATTATCTTTGTATAATTTGTACACCAATTTTTTTTTCACTTTCACCATTTTTGTCCAGCTCAATGAGCACATGTATATTTAGCAGATCGGTAGTTTTCATTGACTCAATTAATTTGAAAATTGGTTTGGTAATTTTTTCATAAAATTGTGTATTTTTTTATTTAATTACGGTCAATTATTATTAATTTTTGATGAGATCTTTTAATTGATAACCATTTTCGTCATAAAGAATGAAATTGATATGTTCAACAGATGATCAAATTTCAAAGTGCTTCCGATATGAATTCGGCGCTTTTTATCATTCAAATTCGGCATAATGTCATTATACTTTTTAATTTGGAAATGATTTCTGTAATTGGTGAACCGTGAAGGAGGAAACATGACATCGAATCGTACACACCAATTGAGAAAACTTCATGAGTAGAGAAAGAGAAATAGATAGAAAGGGAGAGAACGAGCTAGGTAGTTGTGATGACTTCGTTTGTTGAACGGAGTGTTACAAGTTTAAAATGACTCAAACAGTTTCACCTTTCCATCAGTAAATCACAACACAAATGGTCTTTTATTAAAACGAAAGTTTTGTTGAATATTCATTTAGATTTCAAATGAGTTGTAGTGAATTGATGCCAAAATGGTATTCGGCACAGCGGTTCCTCTAATTATCACTCTAAAACTATGACAATTTGACAAAAAAGGTGAAAAGAACAAATTATGTTGCCGGGTGCTGATCCTTGAGTCGACAAATATTTGCCTAATGTAATCGTGGCCAATTATCCAATGGTAAGTTATTTGCATGTGCTTAGGCTTTTCTCACATTGCCAATTAGCATATGTGCTGTAAATGCGCTAATATTGTCACCATAAATTTCATTTCAAACAAATTGACCACTTTGCAAATAGTGAATTATGGCCAGACGGCATTTTCACTTTTCATATTGATTGAGAGGAAAAACAAAAACCAAGCCATTTGACAATGTGCTATTGGTAAACAACAAATCCATGCGATTTAAAGTCGCGTGTTTATTATTGAAAGAAAATGACACTAAGTTGCTGGTGTCAGCATTTTACGGTTTGTCACTTATTGACTTTACATAATGCGCGTGGTTTGGCTGGTTAAACAAGCAGACACTCGACTGAAAAGTGACGGTTTTGTGACTGTATATGTATGTGAGTGTGTGATGTGAATCAAAATGGGCACTTGTGTTATGAAATAAATTTTCAAAACACCTCCGCACGAATTTTATAGATTCCATTCCATACAGCTTCTCAATGAACCACAAATATTTCATTCACACGACTGAAATCTAGATTAATGCCATTAGTGTTATAACTTTCATGCTATGAGTCCATTATTTTCTTGTGTATCTCTGGTATTCCACTGAAATTAAAACATAATCTAATTCTCTGAATTTGAATTACTAAATGTAAGATCGAGCTGGGATCTGCCATGAGTGTTTGGATTAATGAACGACGCGGTTGAAACGTTGTCATTCTGCAAACGACCTCCCGTTTGAGTGCAAAAAAGTCGTTTACCTTTGGCTCTGCTCAATGAGAGGGAAATAATAATTTTTCATCGGTTGGACAGTCTGGGAATGGTAAGCAGGTAAATCAAGCTTAAAAAAACAGCATCAAGTGTAGTTTTTTTTTCTATATTTCGCGCATTTATCTAATCTTCAGCCATGCATCACGATAAAGTAAGAGCCGGTTTTGGAAAGTTTTTTTTTCATTTGCAAACATTCAAAATTAGACAGATTTGATACTGTACAAGATCTGGTCGAGCAGCTTGGTCAATTCAGTGTTTTGTGTTTACATTTCTTGTCTCATAAATATTGATAATTTATGTAAATAACCTTTCAAAGTGAGGCAATTTTCATTCGAAGACTTGTACATTTTTTGATTTGTTCACTTTGCTCTCTCTCTTCCTCTCTTTCACTTGCTCTGTTGTTGGAAAGTAATATTGTGATTGTCGTCAGACTTTGTAACAAAACAAAACAAATGTTGAAGTCGGAAGGAAATAATACGCAGCAGAGATCGTAAATGACATTTACTATGATACAGCAACAAATCTGTGGGCGGTTTTTGAATTGAATTTGTTGTCATAACCCTGAACTAACCGAAAGTAAACACAAATGCTCGATTTGCGGTTCTCATTGCGCTGGAATAAAGTAAAGTCGACAGTGCGACCATGTCAAAAATTTTATATTCATCAATAAATAATCGTCGATTGGCTGTAAATGGAATGAAAGCAGTCAACAGAATAAAATATTCAGAGTTTCGCCCACCGTCCATACATTTTTGCATTTTAAACTATGTGCTGGTTGGATGTGATAGTAAAACAAATTCTAGAAAATGTTCGACGACAATGACATTTCCTGCTGCCGCAATTTGAAATACCAACTCAACCATGTGAGTGTGTGTATGTTTCCTCGAAAAATATGTTTGGAAACACTTTGATTTCTACTTGAAAATTTATTCAAACGTACTGGATTTACAAGTGAAATATCACATTAAATCCCATATCAATGAACAATGGAAAAAACCTTTAAAATCAAATGGAATGCAATTATTTTTGAAATTTTCCCATAAAAGGCTACTGGAAATATCCTTGTTTTGAAAGAGAAGATAACACTGTAAAAAAATTATGTCAAACAACTAACAATGTACTCCAGTTTTTGAGCTCCCAAAGACGTAGACAATTTTTGGTTTTTGAGCTCAGTAAATGTGAGTGCAATCAACAAGAGTGCATATGCAGTTGTTCGATTCCAAAACACAAAAGGAAAACATGTGTTCTCGATTGTTAGTATTTTTTGTATCCTTAGCACAAACTAAAACAACTAACACAGACAAAAATGTACATAAACATACAGAGTCGAACAGCTGCAAATGCACTTTTATTGCTCTATGTATGTATGACCTAACATTGTAGGTTTGGTCTAACGAATTTTTGGAATATACCATTTTAGTTGAGTTTCTAACACACGTGAATAAGGTTATGAATTACGAAAGCAATGTATTTGTCATGGAATCGTCCTGAATCGTCGGAATATCCGAAAATTTGGCATACATTCACTGTATCTGGAGAAAAATATCACATTCAAGACTTGCCCCCATCAATAACTGAAAAGGCAATGGATTTTATGTTTAAAAACATTAAGGCCATTAGTTGTAGTGTACAGTGTGTTAATATTTGCTTATATTTTGCAGGCCCTGCAGTTCATGAAAGAAAACTCCATTGACGAGCCATTAGCAGCAGCTTACAGTAAGTAAAAAAAATGAAGTTATATTTTTTGAAAAATAAAAATAAATCGACTTTCTTTAAATTTATAGAGATATATGAGGATGAAGTTGTTTTTGATCAAATGGAAGTACAGTGGAGATCGGTCATTGAACAGAAGGCGGTATTAGTTTGTTTCAAAGAAGGATCCGATGAAATCGTTGGCATAAATATGAACTATGTCCTGTCTATATATGATCACATATTGATGAGCCCTATTGCTGTGATAAAGAAAAGACTGCGAAATGTGTATTCAATGTTCGAAAGAATGTATTATGGTTGCATCGACCGAAAGTATAAATTATTATGTTCGTTGATTAAATCAAATAAAAATGATAAAAGATGTCTTGGTCTGTTACAATTGATGACTGAAGATTTTGATATAGACGTTGATGAAGTATTAGTTGCCTGCGGCCTTTGCGTTGCTCAGAAATATCGCGGTCGAGGAATTGCTGTGGAACTTTTGAAAACAAGAAAGATATTTTGTGAAGAATTCAACATAAAGTTGACAATAAATGTATTCTCTTCGCATATAGCTGACGCATGCGCCGAAAAAGCTGGTTTTGAACTACTAAAAACCTTTAGGTAAGATAGAAAGTAAATTTGTTGACATAAATTATGTATTTTAATAATTGTTTCTTCTTCTTTTTTCAGTTACGATGAAATCCGAAAAAATTATCCTCATCTCAAAGTACCGATTCAAATTGAAAGCAATTCATTGACTTTTCGAGCAATGAAAATCAATTCAATGAGAGAACTCATTTCGGATAAACCCAAGAGTTTGGCGTTAATCAAAAAGTTAAATAAATAATCATGATATTTTCTATCTGATTATTAAGTTACTTAGTTAATTAGTTATAATCATAATCAATTATTTTGATTATCAATTTGGCTGACTGTGAAAAACCTGAAATAGTAATTTACTAGTAACTCTAGAAGTTTTTTATGAACATTTAAAATGTGTTGCATTTAATTGTTGTGGATTTTTAAAGATAGGCAAAGAGTTTTTACACACTTCTCATACACATCGATAATTTTTCTGCTTTCACTGAGACATTTTTCGAGAGTGACTGTAAATAAGGCGGGACTTTTTTGCTTTTCATAACCAGTTTTTAACTAGATAGAATCGACTTTAGCCAGGATCTTCTATAGATTTTTACCGGAAATTACCCTTAAATTTTTTGAAGAAGACGTGGTTACCTATGTCGTAATCTGTTAGACTGACTTTTCAACAATTCCTCATTAAATGTATAATACTTTCAATAATCGATCATACACAATAATAATAAACACGACTTTTATTTTTTTAAGTTTATGAATAAAATAAAACTCTCTTTTTTCTCTTAATTTTCAACTGCAATTTTTCAATTTTTCGATCCACATTACTGAAAACAATGATTGAATTTAGAAAGTGTCTGATGATTTTTCGGGCTGCTCCGCATAATTCAAATTGTTTGATAGCGCTCTCCCAATTATTATACATGTGAATTCTTTTTTTTATTTCATCTTTTAACAAAAATTAATAATAACATAATTCAATCTGCTGTGTTTTCAATCTGATTGCGTTGAGTTGGGTATCTTTTGCAATATTTTCTTCTTGACTGACTGCCATCACTAATTGGCACATGGATGATGATTATAGTGATGGTTTCAGATTGCACGTATTGTTTCATTCATTCGGATGCATTTAAGTGAATTGTTAAATTGGCGGCAATGTGCAGAATGCGGTGCGATTGTAATGCCGAAACTTTGTTGAGATTTTCAGTTTTTATTACCGATTGAAAAACGAAGCCGCACAACAAAAAGATAATTGTGTGTTCTTCCTTTAACACCTTGATGTACTTTTCAAGATCTCAGAGCGTGAACATTTTTTTTATTCAAACAATTCACAGATGTATTTCATGTTTGTTCAATGAATTTAGATGGAATCGCTTTTTATTTCTTGGAATTAATTGTGTAAGAAATGGAATTAATCGATTCATTAAAGAATTAATGGAATTAAGAAGTGAATTTATCGGAAAATTTACTCAACTATTGAATTAATTAAATCAAGTATAAAAAACACTACATTAAACTTTAATCGATTATGATTTATTTGAATTTCGATTTCAAATAGGATTTTAAGCGTGAAAAGTTGAATTGGTAGGTAAATTAATACGTTTTCGATTTTTTCTGATTAGCATTGGATGGTCGTGAACTTGTTAAGCGGCACCCAAAATGCATAATACCATGACAAGATCCAAAATGAAGTAATGAAGACAAATTCGCTATGGCCATGGATCTATAATGCGACGAAATACTGCAAATTCGGAAACGTGTGTGAACGAACCTTATACAATTCGAAAAAGAAATCCCACAAATTATTCATTCCACACTTTTTTGGGTTTTTTGTTGGTCAAACATGCGAAACGAAATATCATTATGGAATATTCAAATTGCAAATTATGCAAATTGAATGTGCAAATTAAAATGTGAAGACAAAAAATGTTGACAGTATGAGAAAACTTCCCGTCAAACAAATGGATTTTAATCAGGATAGAACATCAAAAAAATGTGAAGAGCATGGGAATCAAATCAAGATACACCAGCGGTATGAAACATGTTCTTTGCTTAAGCGAAATTAATAATAATCAATGCAAACCTGGTAAGCGGCGACTTCATCGCTCGAATAAACCGGATGCAAAACTGGCGACGAATTTTTCGGTGCGAACATTTTTGATTCTTAATTAATCGATAAATTTGTTAACATTCAAAATCAATGTTTGAGTTTTTGTCTTTTTTTTTACATTAAGTTCCAGAGTTGGAAAGTGAGTTTGCAACTAAAAGTGCTCTGGTTTTTTTTGTGTCACTTGAAACAAATGTTCATAACATAAGAAAATCTACACTTTACACTGAGCTTTACTTGTTCTGATCGTAAAATAACAATTTGTGACATAAAAATGCGAACATGAACTTTGAAAACATGGCAAAGCAACGAGGCTAACACAAGCACACATGGATGTGAATTAGCTCTAACGAGCCATATAATACCGAATGGGAAGTGCTCTTGTTGGGCGTGCTTTCACAATCGCTATACATGCACTTGATGACACTTTGACACGAATCTCAAACACCACAGCACGTTATAAAATTTAAGGTTTTTTTTCACTCTGGTGGAATGGATGAGATTTTATCGTTGTATTTTATAGGTGTGTGCGATTCATTCGAGACACCACACGCTAATGTCGATGATTTTCCTGCAAGAATTTCGAATTTAATTTCTGCACTCGTTCATCACTCAAAATTTTATGGTCCCATCGTGAGATATTTATTTGGTTAACGGTGTAGATATTTTCGTCATGAGAATAATTCTTATTGTTTCCGTTCACACAGATCCATTTTTTTTACTTAAAATACCACCAATCAAGACATTTTTTTGGGGTCGAAAATGAATTATTGATTTTGTCTCGTCGTGAATGCTTCCGTTCAGCCCGAATATGATTTTAATTTTTGTTTATTCAGGAGCAAAAGCAACGGTCTTACACGTGAACTTTGTCGAAACCAACAAAAAGACGTTAAAAAAGGTATTGCATGAAACAAACAAAAGTGATTCCGTCATCAAATTCGTTTTTTTTAGTTTTTATATTAAGTGGATTATAATCGGAGCAAATGCAAATATGCACAAAGAAAACGAGTATATGAGAATCAAGTTGTCTTGTTTTTGAAGCGTTTCAGAGTTTTATTTGAAAGTATGTGCTCTGAAAACATCGAATACAAATTGTAAAAGTCGAAATGCTTGTATAAATTCCGACGTTGTTACATTATTGACAATGCCATTTAAGATCGGCATTGCTTACATGCTCGACTTGCTCGATCGATGATATCGACATCGTTTGTTTTTTTTTTCTCTTTGCATTTGTTAAGAGTTCAATTCCTCGCAATTTGTGTTTGGGAAACTTATACTGTTGAAATTAAAATGCTCAATTTGTATTGTTGGCAGAGTTCAGCTGCATGCTTGAAATGGTTTCAGGCGATCCCATTAAAAAACTGCGATTTTTTTCTGTTTACTCGTGTCGACGTCTTTATTTGGACATATATGGCATTTGCGTTGTCGACATTCCATAAGCAGAAAATATATTGTTTTTGGCGAAAAAGCAGAAAATATGAATAAGCGATTCTTTGGGTCGAGAATATTCCAATAAATAAATTCAAAGTTCGACAGCGTATTTACCGAAACATTGTTTTATAATTAACTGTGTGATTCATAGAGAAGGTGAGGCCTGTTCAACACATGGTACACGCTGTCGAAGCATTGCGGGTATTATCTTGGTCAATTTCCATGTTTATTGGCCCTCATTATGGCCTATTAACGCGAATGCCAATCATAAAAACACCTACCACTTGATTGAGTAATACCCGATTGTGAAATGGTTTTGTTCAAACGAGCCTCTTCCATGAATCAAACATTTAAGCATCAATTTTCATATGACAGGAAATGTCACTTGGTGAGACACAAATCAATGGTGGTCATTTTCCATTTGAAATCACATCAAGAATATCTACATCATATAACAAAATAATATCTCGATGATATTGTACTCGTAATTTCTCTGTGGTTATGAGATCATTGGCTCTGTGTTTTCAAAAACAACACATCACCTACACGTATTCAACCTTAAACTCGATACCGAATTTATGCATTAATATGGATTTACAGACGCACAGAACGGACGAGATAGAGAGAGAGAGAGAGAGAGAAAAAAAGATAGAAATCAATCAACTTTTCAGGCAAAGAAGAAACAATGTATTTTTTTTTTTTTTCAAAACCACAGCGCGTTTAAAGCGATTTGTCTTGAAACACTTGCGAGGTTTGTTTTTTTTCTCTTATATTCAGCTAAACTGGTGTTGATAATCTCATTTGTTTACAAATCGTTTTCAATTGCATGTTTCTTTTTCAGCTGGCATCCAAATTATTCACTTGGTTAATATATTAACTCTTCTCTCTAATCACTTGAGCAATTTTTACAACTTCATTTTGATATGATTGCGGTACTTTCATTTTAGCAAATTCACAATGGTCAATCAAATTAGTTGTGCTTGTAGCTAACTGTAAACGATGTGAGAGCACTTGAACTATTTTCTTCACGAAATTGACACATAAAACTCGTTATTTTTTTTTGTTGAATATTGAAACGAAAATTTATCTTACATTCAATTAAATTTATCGTCAAATCGATCGATATTGATTTCATCTAACGGATTAAATCTTTCGTATTTTCCTATTGATCTAAAACGAAGTTAATTGAAGGAGAGAAAAAATAGCACTTCAGTCGACGTAAAAAAATCTGCGAGACGTATTCGTAATCGTTGTAGCTTTAAAACTAAATTGAAATGTTGGATTGAAAGCACGTTAAACCTACTTTTTTTCGAATGTATTCGCGATCTCACACAGTATTTTTTTTTCTCTCTCTCTTGTGCGCACAGTGTTCAATACATCTGTTGGTCGCGCATGCTTACATATGTGTGTGTTTGTGTGTCGGTGCCTCGGCACGTATAAAATGAATAGGTAATTTATTAAAATATTTGCTTGTTTTCGATTTATTTGTGCTTTATTTAGAAGCAAAACCAATACAATCAAGCAGGACAAGTATACAAACACAGAGAGAAACTAGAGAAAAAAAAACAAGTCAAGAGATTGGTGTATGTGTGTTAAAAAAAACGATATATGCAGGTAGCGTTGGCCACCGTGAACAGTATGTTAATGCGATCTTTCAATTCCATTCATTACCGTTTGCTTTTTGCGTTATTGTTTACATACAAATCTCTGCTATCTTCCTCTCTCCCCACATGCCAGACCAGCACAAACGATGCGCAAACAATGTAACTAAGACATGAGCAATGCCGCGCAAACAGCTAGAATTGATGATAGTCATTTGATACATCACACATACACCAGATTGAAACCATTATATTCTACATATATTCCATTTCTTCGATCTGTTTGCGTTGACCAAACACACAACGTTCTCTCGGCGCTTTTTTTCTTCTTCCTCCTTTGTATTTTTAGAGAAAAAGAAAAAATGGCAAACGATTTAAACGTTTAGGTTTATTCTTAAGTAGTACAACAATGCTCAATGATTATTGATGGATGCTTGGCACACGTTTTGTATTCATTACATTGGCATGAACATATTCAAAACGAATAGCGCTTAGCACATGTTTTGTTTGGCTTTGATTTGAATTGACCATCGAATTAGACTGAATTGCTTTATTGACAAATTTGGAATGCTAATTTCGTGCATCTTT